GATTTAAAATGACCAATTGGGACTCAGGTTCACTAGCTCAGTTCTTCAACACAGTGTTTACTGTAAACTGGGTTCTTAGAAGGAACTAGTTAATTCACATTATAATTTCCTTGAAATTATGGATCTTAGTAGGAGATGGGGTGCATTCCATGCTGCCTGAAGAAATTCATTCTACGTCCAAAGTCGCAGTTTGTGGTCTATTCTTGATTTTTATCAGTATGGCCAGTCACTCTGTCTCAGTTCTATCCACTAGCTGGGTGCCTTAGTCGTAAGCTAAATAAACTACCTTCTACAATATCTTTAGTTTCCACACTGAGACTTTCTCTCTGATCACTTCTGGGGTATACAGCTTCGCTTATAGTAGCTGGTTTAAAGTCTTTGGCCACTAAGTCCTGAATCTGTCATCTTGGTGCCTACATCTGTTGATTACCCTTTCGTATGTAAGTTGAGATTTTCCTGGTTCTTAATATGGTTGATAATTATGGATTGCATGCTTAACATGTAAAAAATTATTTTTTGAGATTTTAATCTTATTTAAATTCTATGGAAAATATTGATATTTTTGTTTTAGTTACCCAATTATGTTCATATTGCAAGTTCTGACTAGCCTTCCATATTGTTTGTTTTTAATACCAGCTAAATTTTCAAAGCTTTTGCAGTGATATTCAGATCTCTGCATTCCTGAATGGCCAGTCAGAACTGGGCTTTGACTCAAAGTGTTACTTGAGGGGGGCGGGGATTTAGCTCAGTGTTGCCGCTGCCTGCCTCGCATGCACAAGGACCCAAGTTCGATCTTTGGTACCAAAAAAAAAAAAGCCTTAGTTGGATTCTTGAGGTTAGCATGTGCTGTTCACTGTCAGATCATTTAATGATGTGAAGATTGGTCAAGATTGCTAAATGGTATCTGTCTCACCCATCCATTACCATTGGCCACCTTAGTTGGGCACCATAGTCCCAACTGCCTTGAAGGCAGAGCTGCGCAGGAGTCTCACTTAAGTCCAGGAGTTCAAGAACAACTTGGGCAACATAATCAGACCTTGTCTTAAAAATAAACAGCTGGACACTCATCCCATCGTCCTTGCCACTTTGTGCTGCAGCTCTGGAGTTCTCTTTCCTGGAGCATCTTTAGTTGTGCAGTCCTGGCTGCCTCAGTGTCCCAAATGAATGCAAAATGTTTACCTTCTGTGGTCAGTTTGACTTTGGCGAGGAGCCAGAAGTCGCAGGGTGCCATGGTGAATAAGGGGGATGATGACACAGTGGCATGTTCTTATGAGCTGCCTTTCTGCTGGATGGCAACTGGCAGCAGCACTCTGGTTTTTTGTTTTGTTTTTGCGGTAAGGGGGATCGAACTCAGGACCTTGCGCTTGCAAGGCAGGTGAGGTGCCACTGAGCTAAATCCCTGGCCCGCAGCACTCTGCATTTTTGATCACATTTCTAAAGTCATTCATACAAGTGGACCTCTAGAACTGCTCAGAGAGTGGCAGGGAGATGGGACGAGTGTTTTTGAAGCAAGCAGGAGTATTATGAGGGGAATTCATGGCAAGGTGTCTTTTACTATAGTAAAAAAATTTCGAAAATGTTAAAAAAATAACAATAAACAGCTGGATATGGTGGCTTATACTGTAATCCTAGCTATTCAGGAGGCTGAGGCAGGAGGATTACAAAATTGAGTGCTGCCTGGATAGTTTGGTAAGACCTTTTCTCAAAATAAAAAAGAACTGGGATGTACCTGGTACTGCAAAAACTAACAAATATATCAACTGGCCGTTGATCTGGATAGTTTTAGTAGACACTGATAGTCATTTACCTAGATTATTAGATGCTACAAAATAATGAATTTCAAATTCTGTACTTGAAGTATTGGTTTCCTTGAAATACAATTAATACGAGAAAGAAAGACTAAGTGCTTGATTTATTTTCTCTTTATATTCAGGGTAATAAATTGATACTTCAGCAATTATTTGTAACATTTAAACTTTTTTGGGGGACATTATTATGAATTCATAGATTTTTGTATATTCTATCATTTCAGTCCATTACAGTTACTGTTTCTGATTCTCAAATTTCCCTGTCTTTAATCTTGTTAGTCTCTTCCTTGTCTCCTTGTCTTGGAGATAGGTGGACTTAGCTGCCATGCAGATAATGAAATTGAAGCTTCAGCATTCTTTATTTGCATGGGCCCGTGCAGAGGCTTTGGGGTCAAGGCTTTAGGAATTGGTCATACAGTTTTGTAAAATTTACGAAAGTGAGATTTTTGACAGGTGAGTTGATTAATATTTAATATAAGCTTCAAGCTCCACAAAACCTGGGCCTGATGGGAGTGTTTGATGTGTTCCTAGTCTTAAGCAACAACAGAATTCTAGCCCCATCTTGAACAGTTCCCATCCCAGTCTTAGGGTTACTATATTCTCCAAGGAGCCTTGGTTCTTTTTCTGAGGGAAAGGATAATTTGAACCCTTAATTTATAGATCAGGGATACTTAATGCTACTTCACTTGCTTCTAAGGCTTCTCAATAGTTAGAGTTGTAAAATACATATTTAAATAAAGGTCATGGGGCCAGGGATTTAGCTCAGTGGTTTCACTGCCTGCTGCGCAAGCACAAGGACCCGAGTTGTTCGATCCCCGGTACCAAAAAAACCTCAAAACAACAACAACAACAACAACAACAAAACTGGCATAAATAAAGGTCATGATTTTTTCATGTTTTTAAAAAAAAATAATTTATACACAACTTTATTTATTTTGTTGAGACAGGGTCTTGCTATGTAGTTCAGGCTGGCCTCAAATTTATTGCAATCCTCCTGCCTCAACGTCCAGAGTGCTGGGATTACAGGTGTGTGCCACTACACACAGCTCAAACTGCTGATTTTATTGGGTTTTGGAAATTGTAGCGTTTAAGGATAGTGAAGCAGGAATATTTAGGAATTCATTGGCCTTGTGTTTTGCAGTGTTGTGGCTGTTAATTGATTCATTGACCTTCTGGAGTGGATTACTTATTAGAAGCTATTACTGTCATTATTAATTTGTTTAGAGATAGGTTCTTACTGTGCTGCCTAGTATGGTCCAACCGCTGAGCTCAAGCCTGCTTCATGCCTCAGCCTCCCGAGTATATGGAACTAAGGGCATGCACCAGTAGTGCTAGTCATATCTATTATTGATAGACTGGAATAGACTTTTTTTAAGACAGAGTCTCACCATGTAGTTCAGGCTCGAACTACATAGGCTTGAGGTGTGTACTACCATACCTGGCCTGGAATGGGTTAAAAGCCATTTTCTTTTTTGTTTTTGAAATGGGGTCTCTCACTATGTAGTCCAGGCTGGCCTTGAACTGGAATTGATCCTCCTCCCTTAGCCTCCCAAGTGCTGGGATTGTAGGTGTGCAGGACCACACCCTGAAAGCCAGCTTTGTTTTGCTCATCACTTGTCACTATGTTGTTTCTTGAATTTGGAGTATAGAAAATTTCTTTTGTCATATGTAAAACATTTACATGGTTCCAAAAATGAAAACTATATCATATATTCAGAGAAATATGGCTTCCATCCTAATCCCCTTTATCTCTTCTCCTTCCTTCCTTCCTTCCTTTCTTTCTTTCTTTCTCCCCCCCCCCCCCCATTTTGTGGTCCTCAGGACCTTGCACTTGGGAGGCAGGTGCAGCACCACTGAGCAGAAATTCCCGGCCCTCTCATCTCCCCTTTCTATTGAGTAAACTTTGGTAAACAATTTGCAGGCCATATTTGACCAACTACCATTTCCCCCTGTAAATAAAGTTTGTTGGGACTCAGCCAAAGAAATCATCTGTGACTTTTGTTTTTTAATTTACACTTTTTTTTGGTACCGGATTGAACTCTGGTCCTTGTACTTGCGAGCCGGGCAGCAGAACCACTGAGCTAAATCCCCGGCCCATCTATGACTTCTTTTGTGTTGCAATAGCAGAGTTGAGTAGTTATGACAGTACATGGTCTATAGAGCCTAAAATACTCCTTCTGAGCATCCAGGGAAAAGACTTTCCTACTCTTGTTATTGAGAATCATTTTCAGCTCTTTCTGGCCTATCCCCCCTTCACCCCCCTTTTTTTTAACAAAATAAGCAAATACATATATTCAAAATTTACTTCACTTTTACTCGAAAGGCAGTGTACTATAATTTAGGCATCTTGCTGCACAGTGTTTCCTGAAAATCACTCTGTATCTCTCCCATTCCTGGTCTAGGTTATAGTTTTCATCTCCTTTAGGCTGTTTCTGCTCTTCATATTCTACAGGTATACTGTTCTTTTTACTATTATTCCTTTTCTTTTATAATTTTATTGTATAGAGTTTAATCAGAGGGCCTTTTTCTACGTTCACATTTATCTCCCATGCATTTTAGGTGCATTTTGTAACATTAGAATTTTGCTAGCTCTAAAGAACCAGGCATGGTGGCGCACACCTGTATTCCCAGCACTTGGAGGGCTGAGAGAGGAGGATCATGTGAGTTCGAGACCCTGTCTCAAAACACCAAAAAAAAAAAAAAAAGCTCTAATGATGTTAAACTGTTCTAACCTTTTAACTATAAACTGCTGTAAGTTAAGTACCAGGTCTTTATAGCACCGTGTTGTACTCGGGCTGAAGTCTGTCTGGATCAAGAGCTATTGACTCCATGCTTGCTCTATAATCCACAGTCTTGGTTATTGTAAATATTATAATATCTATGTGGTAACAGTGTTTTGTAATCGCCAGGCATCTGTAGTAATGTGCTTTTTAAAAATATGGATTAAGGGCCTGGGGATTTAGCTCAGTGGTTCTGCCACCTGCCTCGAAAACACAAGGTCCTGAGTTCGATCGCCTGTACCAAAACAAAAAAAAAGAATAAAATATGCATTAAGTGACTGTTGGAACAGTTTGTTCCCCTCACTGTTTCCCTTAAAGCAACCTAATTAATATATAGGATTAATGGTGCTTCTTGATGCTAGAATGTTGTGTTAATTAACCCTGAGAAGCTGCTGCTGTTTTTTTGTTACAGGTTAAATGGAAACCACCTTTGGGAGCTGGATGCCCGTGTAGCTGTTCTACCACAGCAGTGTTTTGCAATGAGTGGGGGAGGAGAGCAGCCAGACATCCTCAGTGTCGGAATCCTGGTCAAAGAAAGATGGAAAGTGGTGAGTGTACAGCTGGGGGTGGCACATGGAGGGTGTCATCTTTGGTACCCTGATCAAAACTGCTATAGTAGTTCATTAGGAAATAGTGCCTACATTGCTTATCTACTTAAAGCAGGTATATTCATATCGTTTCCTGTAATTAAGCTGTTTATATTCATATAATACTATATTTTCCTAACATGCAGTAGTTAATATGTGTACTTATAAAAAGAACAAATAAGAAAAATACAGTGTTTAAAAGTATGATGAACATCTCCTTCCCTGTTCTGAAGCAGTCTTTAACAGTCTTTCTTCTGTATATACTTCAGTCCTTTTCTTTAAATGGTAAGGATTTCTTTTTTAAAGCTTAATCGTGATACTATTATCACATCTAAAAAGGTAATTTTTTTTTAGTACTGGGATTGAACCCAGGACCTTCCACACTGACCTGCATCCCAGGCCCTTTTGTGTTTTATATTTTGAGACGGGGTCTTGGTGAGTAGCTAACTTGCCCAGGCTTGTGATAGAACTTGTGATCCTACTGTCTCAGCCTCCCGGAGTGCTGGGATTACAGGCCTGTACCATCACTTGGCTGAAAAGGAATAATATCTTAATATCCCTAAATATCCTTTCAGTTTCCATATTTTACAGGTTGTTTTATAAATTGTTTTTAACAGTTTGAATCTAGGTTCAGGAAGATCTATATACTGCAACTGGTTGACATTACTTAAATTTCTTTTATTTATTTATTTTTTACTTAAGTTTTATTTACTTATGCATCTGTTTATTTGAGACAGGGTCTCACTATGTAGCCCAGGCTGGCCTTGAACTCACAGCTATCCTCCTGCCTCAGCCTCCCTACTTAAGTTTCTTTTGAATTTAAATTCCTGTCTCTCTGTCTTTCTTTCTTCTCCCTCCCTCTGTCCCTTTGTTCATCCCTCTTTTTTTTTTCCTTACAATGACTTAGCAAAGAAACTAGGTAATTTGTCTGTAGAATTCCTCCATTGTTTGGGTATTACTGACTGCTTTCATGAGGTGCTGACATATTTTTCTGACTCACGTATGTCATGTAAATTGGCACTTACACCTAAATGTTTGATGAGATCTGAGTTAGGTGTTGTGTTTTGGGTTTTTTTTGGTACTGGGGATCGAATGCAGGGAATTGAATGCAGGACCTTGCGCTTGCAAGGCAGGCACTGGAACCTCTGAGCTAAATCCCCAGCTGAGTTAGGTTTTTTGTTTGTTTGTTTTGGTTGTAATTTTTTTGAGACAGGGTGCAGACTGGGCTCGAACTCATGATGATACTCCTGCCTCAGCCTCCTGAGTTCTGGGATCACAGGTGTTTGGCATTATGTCTGGCAGGTTTTTTCTTTTCTATGGTGGGCTTCCCCCTTATAAATGTATCATGAGCTTTTGATAGGAGGCCTGTAGTGTCTTATTGTCCATCTTTTTTGTGATGTTAGTAGCTATTGATGAGCTTTGCAAATTATTGATATTCTATCATTCTTTCAATTATTAGTTGAGATACATCTACAAAGAAAAATTTTCTGTAATCAACTATTTGATTATTGGGAGATACAATTTGATTAGGAAAGCAAGATAAATTTGTGCTTCTTTTACTTAGTTCTCCAGCATCCTCCAAAAGTAGCCAGGTGAGTTTTTTAGTATAATTAAAATTTTGTGGGTTTAAACATTCCATGTGTTTTTGTTCATTGTAGTTATTATCCTATAGATGTTCAAATGTCTCATTTGACTTTGGGAATATCCTTCAAATTATTACCTGAATTACTTTGATATGGTGTTCTTAAGTCTTTTAATGGCTTTCTTGGCCTAGACCTGGAATTGACCATCTTACTAAGACTACTGTTTTGAGGCTGGGGGTTTAGCTCAGTGGTTTTGCTGCCTGCTGCAGAAGCGCAAGGACCCGAGATTGATCCCTGGTACAAAAAAAAAGACTACTGTTTTGCTTTTTCTTTTCTTTCTTTTGGTTTTTTGATTTCTTTTTTTTTTTGGTCTCGCTATTCAGGCTGCCTTGAACTCACTGTGTAGCCTGGGCTGGCTTCAAACTTGCAGCAGTCCTCCTGCCTCAGACTCCTGAGTGCTGGGATTACAGGCATGCACCACCACGCCTGGCATGTTTGTTTGCTTTGAGACAAGATCTCCACTATACCTGGCAAGAGTACTCTTTTTAAATGAGCTGTTTTTGTTTTTGGTTATTTTAAGTATTTTTATTGCTACTCAGTTTTTTGCCAACCAAAGTTTTATTCCACTAGCACCCTCTATCAACAGAGGGAAAAAGTCTATATATATTCATTCTTCCAATACTGGATATTGACCCAAGGGCCTCACACAGGCAAGGCATGCATTCTTCCACTGAGCTACATCCTCAACCCTTTTCTTTTTTCTTTCTTTCCTTTATCTTTTCTTTTTTTTTTGGTACCGGGGATTGAACTCGGATCCTTGCGCTTGTGCAGCAAGTGGCGAAACCACTGAGCTAAATCCCCAGCCCGCCTTTATCTTTTCTTTTTTGGAAGAAGCAATACAAATTATTTTTTCTTTATTTCAGTATATACTGGGCCAGGGATTTAGCTCAGTGGTTCCGCTGCCTGCCTTGCAAGCACAAGGTCCTGAGTTCCATCCCTGTTACAAAAAAAATATATCTATATATCTATATATCTATATATCTGTATATCTATATATATATATCTGAGTAAGTCAGTAGGCTTTGAAAATTTGATTGACTATAAAAACCATGTCATGATTATTGATTAGTACAAGGAAATTATAACAAGTTGCTAACATTTTATGTAGGTCAGACATGAATGTTACTTTGGCAAGAGCATCTTACTAAGTTCTGTGGTGAAGGTTGGCTATTCTTTATGGAAACATCAAAAGGTGACAAGTAAAGATCTGTATGGCACGGCACCCTTGTCTTCATAATTAAAGCTAATTAATTTTTGGAACTTATCCCTCAGATTGGAAGACAGAATGACTTTTGTGGGGGGTCCTGGGGATTGAACTCGGGACCTTGCACTTGCAAGGCAGGTGGCAGAACCATTGAGCTAAATCCCCAGCCCCAGAATGACATTTTTCATGAGAAATCATATGCAAGTTATTAAGAGTAGTGCCTAAGTTATCTGTTGTTATCTGTGAGCTAGATCAGAACAGAGGCTTAAAAAAATCATTTCATTTTGTGAACTAGAAATTAGGGATAACAGACTGGGTGATTTGTCTCTGACCTTTGAGGCATAGTAGCATTGGTTGCATGGATTTCCAACCATTCCCAAATGGCTTCTTTGCTCCCTTATTTGGAACTTTGGATTCTTTAGTGCTCTCACTCACCCCAGTTTAGTGGCTCATTTTCTAGGGAATCTCCTAGGCTGTGACTTCCCAGGATGATACATTTTATATGGTGGCTTACTTTCCTGGAAGCAGAAACTGCAAGGTGGGTTCAGTGCTCTTCTCAGAACTCACACTGTATGTTCTTCTGTTGATTAAAGCAGTCACAATATTGACCCAGATTTAATGAGAAGGGAAATCAGACTCTACCTCTTGATGGGTGAGTAGCAAGGTCACATTTTCTTCTTCAAGAGAAAGGGCATCTCACAGTTAAAGAATGGGCATGGTGATATTGTGGTGGCCATCATTGGAAAATACACGCTGCCACAACCTTGCCTTTATTTCTTAATCTGTGTACCCTGTAGTACTAAACTGCTTGTGTTTCTTTGCCTAAGAAGCTTTGTTATGTCTTAGGGCTTTGTCCAACTAATAAAAAAAATTAATGGTTCTCTTGTTCAGATGGCATCAGAATAGACTATGGAGCAAAATCATTTGCTCCAGCTTAGATGTTTTATTCTGCCATTTGGTAAGGTTTTTTTGAAGTAAGACAGTAAGTCACCTTTCATTGATCCATAATTAGAAGGACATCCTTTTGGTAGTATGTATCAATTATTTTAATATTGTTTTTTGTTGTATTTTTCTTTCTATGTTGTATTTTTCTTTCTCTCTTTCCTTTCTCTCTCTCTCTCTCTCTTTCGACAAAGTCTCACTCTGTAGCCCAAGCTGGCCTTGAACATACAAGGATCCTCCTGCCTCAGTCTGCCTAGTTCTAGGATTGCAAGTGTGCACCACCACACCTGGCTCTGTTTTGCTTTGAGGTAAGGTTTTACTGTGTTGTCCAGTCTGGCCCCAAGTTTCTGGACTCAAGTGATTTCACCTGCTCTAGCCTTCTGACTAGCTGGGACTACAGGCACATGCCCCTGTACCCATCATGAGTTTTTGCCAGTCATAGTGGTGCACACCTGTAATCCCAGCTGTTTGGGAGACTGAGGCAAGAGGGTCTCAAATTCACAGCCAGCTTGAGCACGTCAGTGAAATTCTGTCTCAGAAATAAAAAGGACTGGGGCTGTAGCTCAGTAGTAGAGTTCTTGCCTAGCATATGCAAGCCCTGGGCTGGATCCCCAGTGCTAGGAAGCTAGGAAGAGGGGGAAAACAATCTTAACCCTTTACGACCTATCAAAAACCAATATACTTAACTGAATAGTTTTGGAATTTATTTACTAATCCCAGGTTCATTCTGTAGTTCCTCATAGTATTCCCTTTACCAAACAAAAATAAAGAGCAGTTATGGCCTACACATATGCCAATAACTGTTTTAGAATGGAAACAACATGCATGCCTGTAATCCTAACACTTAAGAGGCTGAGGCAAGATGATCACCATGAGTTCAATTAAAGTGAAGCAAAAATTATATAATTAGCATTTTGCCAAATGTTGTGAGGACATAAATAAGACAGGTGGCCCTGTCTTTGAAGATGCTTACTCTAGTGGAATAGGACATGAAAATTAAGGAACATGAGTTAAAAATCAGTAGAATGATGTAAGTGATATCTGAGGTATGCCCTGATAAAAGTGATTGATTGAGTGATTAAATAGATAATTCCCAGATAAATTTTAGATGACAACTCAGCCTGGATGTGGTAATCAGTGAGCTTCCAGGGGAGAAGTAAGACATGGGTTGGGGTCTCTGGGTAGGTTAGGGCTTAGGAGCCCTTTCCTCTGCTAATGACTTCCTGCATCTTACCACACTCTGTGAGTTTGAGAATATAATGAAATGAAGATGACCTAGTTTCAGGAAAGGGAATAAAACCGATTTTTTGCAGCTTATGATGGCGTACGCTTTAGTCCCATTACTTAGAGGCTGAGGCAAGAGGATCTTAATTTTGAGCCCGGCCTGGGTAATTTAGTGTCTTAGCAAGACTCTGTCTCAAAATAAAAACCAACCAACCAGCCAAAGAAAATAAAAATGATTTCTTACAGCATCTTGCTCGTAGCGTATCACCCAGGTGCTGTTGTTACTAGCTGTTCAGAACTTGCTCATGATAGTCAGAGATCCTGATGTTCCCCAGTTAAACTCACATTTTAACAGGAAGAATATTAAGTGTTTCATGAAAGCACTTAAAGTGATTACAGCTCAGTCTTTCTTCAGTGTGTGATGTGCAGTGAGGTCTGGAGTAATGCAGAGCAGCTTTCTTCCTGTTCTGTGGAGCCTGTTGGTTTCCTTAGAGAGGAGAGCACCTGGTGAGAGGGCAGGGTGCTGGCTGCTTACCTTCCCCACCCACATAGCCAGATTGGTTGTAGAGATGAGTTCAGTTGGCAAAAGAGTCCACAGTTTAAAAAGTCTACCAATAACTGTTTTAGAATGGAAACAACGTGCATGGCTGTAATCCCAGCACTCAGGAGGTTGAGGCAAGAGGATCACCATGAGTTCAAGGCCAGCCTAAACTACATAGTGAGACCCTGTCTCAAAAACAGAAGAAAGAAAACATCAAATCTGGTTTGAGTGACATTTGTGTGAAGTTATTCTTTCAGATACTATATTTTTGCATGTGTGTGTGTGTGTGACATTTCTGATGTTGACTACATTTTTTTAAACAATGACTTGATTATTTAATCAGAATTTAGAAGGATAGATAATTCACACATGAAATTGAACAGTACACTTAAAGGGGGCAAGAGAAAGATTGTATGTTCCTTAAAGAACACTACCAAGCACATTAAAAAAGACTGAAAGTCATTATAGTACCCAGAACTGTACCATCATATGGTACCATGAACTGTCTAATGTCCGACATTTTATTCCTTCAGACAACATGATAAAATCAGTGATACAATAAATGTCCCTATGTTGTGTCCTGGCCATTTCTGTTTGCCTTGATGAACATTAAAATGGTATCATCTGCTTAACAGATTCTGTCTTTATCCTCTCTGCTTTATACTGCCCTGTTAATCTTTTAAACTTGTTTAATTATTCATATCACTAAGGGGTCAAGCATATGTGCTACTCTAATTACATTTAAATACATTTGTTGGGACTTTCTATTTCTCTTTTGTTATAGTTAACTGATGATGGTTTGAGGCCAATTTTAAAAAGAAGTTTCTAGTTTAGGATGCAAAGGCAGCCTGTAGGTCGTGCCACAAGTTTAAATGGTTTTCTGAATTAACATAAAATCTGTTACATGAATCTAAATAGTTAAATTTATATGTATTATTTTTATTTTTCATTGATTCCTTAGTTTTATGCTAAAAATATTCAAAATATGATATGTCCTATTTGTCTGGAGGCAGGTATTCAAGTGAAAATATCTTTTTTTTTCCATTAAGTTTATTGGTACATTTTAGGTATAAAATACAGTTATATTCATCATTGGGATCTTGTACCTTTACATGCTGTACTGTAGACTACATTTTAAATTTGCATATGACTAAAATAATTTCATTACTTTTTAGGGATAGACGTGGGAAAAATTTGATGTTACTTCCAGACATTTGTTTTCTTCTTGCCATATATACAGTTAATTTAACAATGTTGAAATATTTTATTTATTTGTTTTATTTGGTTTTTTGAGACAAGGTCTCACTATGCAGTTCAGGCTGGCCTTGAACTCACTATGTAGCCCAGGCTGGCCTTGAACTTGCAGTGATCCTCCTGCCTCAGCATCCTGAGTGCTGGGATTACAGGCGTGCGCCACCATGTCTGGCTCCTGAAATATTTTATTATAAAATAGGAATAACAAGCTGAATTTAATGACTCATGCCTATAATCCCAGCAGGAGGATTGCAAATTTGAGTCCCACCTTGGCAGTTTAGTAAGACCCTGTCTCAAAAATAAACAAATGGAGGGCCAGGGATTGAGCTCAGCGACACAGCGCCTGCCTGGCAAGGGCAAGGTCCTGAGTTCCTCCGCCTACCAAAAAGCAAAACAGAACAAACAAGGGCTGAGGAGGCAGCTTAGTGGTACAGTGCACCTTGATTTGATCTCCAGTACTGAGAAAAACAAGGATAGTAAAATCATGTTATTTTCTAAATGTGAGAAGTTGATTGATTCTCATGTAGAATCTTCTCATAATTTTGAGTGTGTTCTTATTTTCTGTGCAGTTGAGAAAGATTGGGGGTGGGGGCTTTGGAGAAATTTACGATGCCTTGGACATGCTCACCAGGGAAAATGTCGCACTGAAGGTGGAATCAGCTCAACAACCAAAGCAAGTTCTGAAAATGGAGGTTGCTGTTTTGAAAAAATTACAAGGTAAGCTGATTTGTGCAATTTATAATTTGCATGCTAATTTATTTTTGTCTTCTTAAGCCTGAATTACATTTTCTGCTTATTGAATACTCTGGTATTAGATAGATATAAATATGCTAAGCATTTTTTTCTTGAAAATTTCATCACTAGTTAGTAATAATATCAGTGTGTGATTGCTGAGATTCATTGGACTTTGAGAATTGCTTTTCATGGTTATTAGGGTTGAGTGAAGATCAATTAGCAGAACCACTCTGCTGATTTAGAAAATGTCCTAGTGAACATCACTATTCTGTATTAGAAACATGTACCAAGAAAACAAATCTTAAATCTGCTATGGTAAAATCTGCCATTTAAAAAAAATTAAATAGGCATAATGTACCTTTGAGATGTTCCCACTCATGTCTTTGGATGTTAAACATTCTTGAATCACTTTAAGAAAGTTGCTTTCAAATCATACTGTAGGATGAGTTAAAAATAATACTATCATTATGGGTCCTCATTGATTTCAATTTCACAGGATAATTATTTGTGGTTTGTTTTCATTTTTGAAGTCTATTTAGTACTCTGGTCCCTATATTTTTATAGTTAGTCCTCAGCTTATGAGCATTCCAGTCGCAAACTTTGACAGGAACAGACCTCGAAGTACGAACATTTGTAGATGCGAACAAGTCTGCTGGACATCGTCAGAGCTGTGCTGCTGTGTGCTCGCTGTACAGTGTGATAGTGTACAGCAGTACAGTGCTGAGTCAGAGCCTGGGATGTCTGGAAGCGAGAGGAAACGCAGTGGTGATGTGGAGGGGACTGCTAGGAAGCGCAAAGCGATATACATTGTACATTTGTGTCAGAGACATAGAAGACTCACTTGGTCGGACTATGAATGAATCTGACTTAGGATTGTTCTCCGGGAACGGAACTCTTCGTATATTGGGGACTTACTATATTACACTGTCAAGTAATTTTTTTCTAATGTCAGTCCAGTCTCATATAACCCTGAATACATTGCTAGCTTGTATTCATCTTTGTAATCTGTTTAATGATATGTGGTATTATTAAGATTAAAATGTTTGACTCAAATCAAAACTAAATAGGCATTATTGTCCTTTGCCCTAAGCTTTACAGTTATGCAAGTTTCTCTCCCAGTTGGTTCACCTGATTACAGCATGATGCTAATAAAATTATAATAGCTTAATGGTAATTTTTAGTTTAAACTTAGCTTTTCCACAGCCTGGTAAATCAGGGAGACGTCACTACTAGAAAAATAAAGAATTGGAGAAAGAAGAATAGAGAAAAAGGTGGCTGTCTTAGTTACTTTTCTCACTGCTGAGACAAAATACCCAACACCCAAAGTTAGAGGAGGAAAGATTTATTTGGCTCACAGTTTGTAGAGGTTTCGTAGTCTGCTGGCTCCAAAGCAGGCGGCATGGCAGAAGGGCGTCGCAGAGCAGGCAGGAGGCAGCAAAGACAGTGAGCAGCAACAGCAGCAACCCAGCCTGCCTTTATATTTCACCCAGACTGTCTGCACTTTGGGTGATGCCACCCTCACCGAGGATAGGGCACCCTTCACCCTGCATCACACACCCCACAGATCCAGCCACCTCCGAAGAAAAACCCCACCATGACCATATGAGGCTCTGGAGGGACATGTAGACAGACACAAGCCATAGCAGTGGCTCTTTGTTATCTCACCTTTCTCCTTTTCCCCATTTATCTGGAGTTGCTCCCAACTTAGTGATGCAGAGGACATCAAAAGCTGCAACTGCAGCTGCCTCCTCCCATTGCACACATATACTCACAGTGTGTCAGCTCACTTCATTTAGCTTTCTTCTGCTTGGCCCCTTGGAGATTCTCTGATGAGTCAGGAGACAGTTCTGCAACCCTTTCAGGAGTTCCTGCTGTCAATTTTGACCATGATTTATGCAGGATTCTGTGTGGTAATGTTTAAAGATCAGTGTAGTGTCTTTTATGAATGGAGACTGTTGGATGTTAGTCTTATTTCCTTTTCTCATTTTATTGCCTAAAATGATTTTTGTATTTGAATGGAGTAGGTATTATGATACCCTATTCCTCAGAATCCCTTTCCAAAATGAATAGATGTTTTGGGTTTTTTTTGCTACCGGGGATTGAACTCCATTCCTTGCGGTTGCTCAGCAGGTGGCGAAACCACTGAGCTAAATCCCCAGCCCTTGTATAGGTTTTTTAATCTTCTAGACCATATTTCAGTGAGGTAATTTTTGACTCTCTTCTCTTGGCTTTCTAACTCACATCTTCTGCATACTTGTGCCTTTTAACAACTTCAGCAACAATTTTCTCCCCTTTCCTCTCCTAACTTCCTGTTTTTCTTCATTCCTTCTCTTCTTTGAGTACACTGGAATCAGGACTCTTGAGAACATCTTTATACAAGTGAGCTGTTCATGCTTTCTGGGTACCACAATGACTTAATACCAGGTGACCCCAATGAAAAGCTGAGTTTGTAAGGCAGAGGTGTATAGGATTAGAAACTAGCCCATTATACCATTAGTTGGTTTTAAATGGGTGTTAAATTTTTGAAAGCTGGTATAAGAATTTGTTTCTCTATGAAATAAAAAGATATTTTATGATGATGTTAGCCTGAACCCTAAATTTTGCTCTTTTAATCAATCCTCCTTTTCAAAATTCACACACTGCCTTTTTTAGATTCCCTAGTTCCCGGTTATCTTTCTCGTAGTCTTTCCTGCTCTTAATCCTAGATTTCCTCAGAGCCTGAAAGTTTTCATTACTACTGTCTTCCTCTCTCACTGGCCCTAACATGTGAACCCTTTACTGATTTATTCCATATTTTCTTCTCCATGTTACTCTGAAATATGTAGGTTGAGGACTGCAATTTGTTGTTGAATCAAGCTAGACTCTTCTACTTTACTTGGATTTTAAAATGTATTTGAAAATTTTAGTCACTTGTAACCTAATCCATTTATTTTCTCTAAAGTGTCCTAATAAGTAAAGCCATAAAACTTACTACACTTTTTTGTTTCATAACATCATTGTTCAAAGATACATCTCTCTATAACCATTTATTTCTCTCTTTCTTATTTTTTTAAAAAATATATTTGTATTTGAAACTTTGTGCAAAGGGGTTAAATGCTTCCCTAGACTGTGGAGTTCCTTTTTTTTTTTTTTTTTTTTT